CCAATATAATTCCCTATATAACCCCGCTATAAGGAGTTTTCACTATGGCTCAAATGACAAACCCCCAAGGCCTAATAATGGAGTACATGGGGTTTTGGTGCAACTGATTGTAATACAGGTTTTGGAATGAGTATATGATTATTATTAGGTACGTGCCCTTAGGGAAAGGCGCAGGTTGCTTTGACCTTGACTACTCCCATGTCGCAAAAGTAATTAGAATATAGCCAGAAACCACAAAAGCCAGTCCAAAAGGCTATCATTCTACATACTTTTGGGGTTCAGCTACTCTCATATCCCCCCATTCATCTCGCGGCGGTCGCCTGCGATGAGCCTCGGAAAGTTCTTTGCCTCGGAGATTTGGTACGTTCGATGATAAATGGTAGACCCCAATATACTATAGGTGCCCCCTAAAACCCCAAACCCCAATGTACTCTTGAGGTGCCCGCCAAAACCCTTCACCCTAAACCGGGTTTAAGGTTTAGGGTTTAGGGTTTAGGATACTTCAGGTGCCCCCCACAACCCTAAACCCTAGACAGCTGGAAGTAGCTTAGGAAGGCGGACAGGTGGGATTTCACTTGCATTTTACCTGTCGTTCGGTCAAGGGGTGCCAATCCTTGTGGGGTTTACCGAGAAGAACATTCTACTGCATGCAGACTAGGGTTTAGGATTTAGGGTTACTACTACTATTACCCTTACTACTGCTATTACTGTTACCACCCAAATATTAGGTAGTGACAACGCACTTTGGTTATAGATACATTGGTCACTCCAGGTATGGCTTTTACATCAGGAAGCTAGATCAAGTGCGGCAGGTCCCTAAAGTTTAGAGGCCTGGGCTCCGTAAATCTGGGGATCTAGGTCTGTATAAATAATGCCTATATCAGACCCTAAAGTCTACCTAGAGTAGCCAAGGTACCTACAAAGAAATGCATGTAATGCTTTGGTATCTTTACCTTTGTTGGGGGTGTATGTTACTCTAGGTATATACTCCCCCTTCAGTAGATAGACTATGGCCTTGAGTATACTATAGTAAGATCCCCATATACCCCATATTCTATCTACTTAAGGGGGACTATATCCCCTAAACCCTAAACCCTAAATCCTAGACCCTAAACCCTAAAAACCCTAAGCCCCAATATCCTACAAACCCAAAAACTCAATATAACTCAGCAGTACCTACATGAGCCATAATCTAAACTCCTTACAGGGGGCTTATATAGGGAATTATATAGCGGGCTATTATAAGGGATATTAAGGGGGATACTAGGAGTTTAGACATTAGCTCACATGGAGGTACAGGGTATTCGGGAAGTTTGGGGAAGGGCACCTCGGGGGTTTCCGTGCCCCTCACACCAAACGGTGCTATACTGCTTGATACTAAAAATCCTGCATGTCTTTAGTATATTCCTAAACCCTAAACCCCTAAGCCCCTAAACCCCTAAACCCTTAAGCCCTAAACCCTCAACCCCTAAATCCTAAACTCCCATAGTTCCTAAGGTATGAAGTACTGAGGGCCATGCAGGATCGGAATATCCACCGCAGTGAGCAAGGTTGGCCCTGAACCCTTGAAGAAGCACTTTTAGTCCACACACTGAACTCGGTTTAGGCTTTGGGGTTTAGGGTTTAGGATTTGGTTCGGAGGCACAGAGGTATAGTGCCCCTTAAGTAGATAGAATATGGGGTATATGGAGATCTTATTATAACATACCCAAAGCCATATTCTATCTACCGAATGGGGACTAATTATAGCTGTAAGTGGATCGTTCTTGGGAGTAATAACCTGTAGTTATCACTTGATTTGGGAAATTGACCTCCCCCCATCCTCCAAGCAGATTCCCTTCATCACCCTCCGTGATCCCAATAGACCCTCACCTGCACAAATACCTACCTGCAAACTTCCGAGTACACCCAAAACTGCATTTGAGTTTCTGCGTAGTGCACGAACCCCTAGGGAGATCTTGATTGCTCGGCAGAAGTGGTGCTGTTTCCCAAACCCAATATAAGCCATTATAGTAGTTTCCGTGTTCTTTTCCATTAAGCCAATCTAACCCCAATACACACCACTGTTGAAGGACGCCACCTTGCACGACCCTAGGACCTGTAGGAGCTCTGGAATTAGGACATCGTCCAAGGCATGCAAGGGCGCGCCCATCAACAGTATGTGGTACTTTCCCAAAATTAAGGTACCCCAATATAGACCCCAATATACTATAATCCTTAATATGGGGACCCCCAAAAAGGTACCCCTAATTTTGGGAAACTCCCATGTAGTCTTCAGCTTTACTTCACGCACGTTTCCAGTTCTCGACAACACACTTGTTCTTCCAGTATGGAACCCTCTCATTAAGCACTCTGCTCTGGTAGGAGGATCGGGGAGCATGGATCCCACCATCTCGGCTGAGGTAATGGGATAGACTCACTTCTCTTCGCGATGAGGAATGCCGCCATGGCCCACCAATTAACGCGCAGTCTCCTACCAGAAGGTTTTCCAATCATGTGATTCAACAGTAGCCTCTTCTGAGACAGCCTCGATACGTTGAGGGGGCACAAGACATGCATCACCCACCTGCTGGCAAACTTTCGTGACACCTCCCAGTGGCCCTACCGAGAAGCCACTCGTGCTTCTCACATCGTCCACACCGTTCTAATCGAGTCCGTTCTGTTGTTTGGAACATGGCACCACATCTTGAGAATTCGTCAAGTGAAGGGCGGATCCGCCTTGATCTCTCCTGAAATGCCACGAGACACAGAAGCCTTTCCAACCCCAACGTGAGAAAGACACTTGACTAGCCCGGCATCTTTTTTCAGTAAACGATGGTGGGCTCTGATGTGGGACTCGTCGATCCGCTGCACTTTCCGGGTGCGAGCATTGTGCGCCCCGGGGCAGCGAATCAACCGCTGGTTCAAAGCAGCTACAGTGAGGTCGGTGCACCAATGATATTAAATCACCTCTTTGCAAATAGATCAAGTCTACGCGAATGAAAACAAATTTCCTTGCACCGATGCGCACAATTGCTTTGATCGCTACTTCCTACTGTATACAAGAACCCTCTACTGAGCCTGAATGTACCCGCAGGTCTTCAATCCGTATGTCACCCTGCGCTGCAGGCCTGATGCAGAAATATCGTGGATCCACCTTTGCAGCCGCAAGATCTCATCTACCCAGCCTTGGGTCTACAGTAATGCCAAAGACGTCCAGCTCAGATGACTCCACAGCTGCGGCGGCACAGAAGGCCAAGACCCTCAAAAGGTTTCTGTAGAGAGATTCTTGCAGGCCCCGAGGCAGCGGCAAGCTGCGCTGAGCCATCAAATCATTGATCAAAGGCTCGCACGTCTTCTCAAATGGGGTAAGATCCAGCCTTCCCTTCTTCAGAGACTTCCTAGCAGACTTGGGGTCTGCGGACACGTTTAGGCGAACCCGCACACCACAGGCTGATAGCCGCACGGAAGATACCATGTCAATGACCAGCCGCAGTGCAAACTTCACGGCGTTCCTTCATACTACATGACAGTTCTGGTTTTGGGAGGCTTAGAAGGCTTGCTTCTATGCAAAGTGGCGCTGATTTAGGGTCTTTGGCCCTTGCAGTGTAAACACAAACAACGACCTCTGACAAAATCAAGCCAGCTTCTTATAGACAACTCGATCTGCTGCAGGATTGATGATCGTCTTCTCTCCTTTGGCGGGGAAAACGACCTCCCGCATGACGAAATCGATCATATCTTTTGTGAGCTCAACATTTGCCCGCGGCAGACTGCTGGTTTCCTTGTCGTGGTACTGCAACATATACCTGAGAGGTGGTAGTTGATCAAAACTCCTTTTCCCAAATGGCCTTCTTACAAAAGAATCCCCACGAAACCCTAAACTCTAAACCCTAGACCCCCACGTTTCCCTCATGGTTCTGCTTATAGACTCACAGGAACCCAAACTAATTTCCCCAAAGGACCTATAGATCAACCCCCATGTGTTGAGGACAATTCTTGAGAACAGCAAGCCGTGCTTGGCTTGAGTGCTCAGGGTTTATAGTCCCCATTAAGTAGATAGAATATGGCTTTGGGTATATTATAATAAGATCCCCAAATACCCTATATTCTATCTACTTAAGGGGGACTGTACGGACTTAAACTCCCAAACAAGCTACTGAGTTTCCTTGCCCCGCGAAGTTTAACCTTCTCACTGTAGAAGGAGTATACATACCCCAAAACACTAAAGGTTATCATTCAGCAACTACAGCTACCTGGACTTCCCACATACCTACTTACAATGCGGTCCCCCTTAAGTAGATAGAACATGGCTTTGGGTATGTTATAACAAGATCCCCATATACCTATCTACTTAAGGGGGGCTATACACTCTCCCCAGGGGCAAAGTCTGCCCAAACAATGCCCGCTGGTCCACGATGCCAAAGGCATAATGAATCATCCTCGGTTGTAGCCTTAAAAATAGAGGGTTTAGGGTTAGGGTTTAGGATTTAGGGTTAGGGTTTAGGGTTTAGGGTTTAGGGGTTGAATAGATGAATGAATACATAGTAACAAAATATATGCACCCTAGACCCTAAAAAATCTAGATGGCCTTAGGGATCCAAGAAGGGTGTGTATAGGGTTTTGGGCTTAGGGTTTAGGGTTCCAAGTATACAAATAATACCTACACTGGGCCCGGAAGTCAATGAAATTACCTACGTTGGATTGGATCCTTAGGGTAAAGAGGTTGAAAACGGAAATGGAAACTACCATTACCACACTAGCAGTGATTTGGTCAATTCTTAATGGCCTCAGAAAACCTTTCCAAGCTTGCTATCAAACCCGGCGAAGCGTCGGCAAACCCTGCTTTATCCCTAAACCCCAAACCCCTAAACCCCTAAACCCTAAACCCTAAACCCAAACCCACCTCAATGTAAACCACAACATCCACATCACAGAGGCTGGAAGTTGAGGAATGCCTAAACCTTTTGGTTGGGCTTTAGGGTTTAGGGTTGAGGGTCTAGGGTCTAGAGTTTAGGGTTTAAGGCCAAATTAGGGTTATGCTGGGATAAGGGAAAATGGAAACTACTGTTTTGGATTTAGGGCTTTTCAATCCAACAAGTTGTATTGGGACAACGGAATATAAAATGGAAACTGCTATTTTGGGTTTAGGGTTTAGGGGTTTTCAATCCAACAGCTACCAAGTGTCTGCAAAACGAATCGGACCACGACAAAGTAGACTTCGCGCTCCATGACATCCTCAGTAGCTCCAGATATTGCAGTGTATAAAGCAGCAAAAAGAAGCTGCTGGCCTGCAAGTAGTAAGACGCCAGATGCAGAAACTTACAAGTACATGGCTGCGACGCTTCGGCGCACTCTAGATGCTAAGGGTTCAGGGTTTTAAGCCCTAAACCCTAAACTAGGGTTTAGGACAGAAGGGCTCTGGACACTACACCGTTGACTACAAGCTACCTGACAGATAGACATGGGCGTTTCCCACATAGGGGCCCCAAAACGAACCTAAGGTACTGAGACCCGTATAGTATGGGACTCCTTACTTAACGCAAAGCTTCCTGATGGATAAAACCCTAAATCCTAAAATCAAATCCCTAAACCCTAAACTCTAATCCCTAAGCCCTGAACCCTAACACCTACAATCGAATCCCTGAACCCTACACCCTGAACCCTGCACCCTAAACCCTACTTGGAGGCCCATGGGACATAGTAATTACTTATAAGTGGACGTATAACCCTACTTATATTTGGGGTAACCCCTACAAGCCCATTTACGGGGATTATAAATAGGGTTATAAGCCCAGTTACTAAGTCCCATGAACCCGAAGCCCTGAACCCTAATCCCTATATATCCCTAAAGCCCCCTGTAAGGGGACCTGAGTAGTTACAAAGTCCCATGGGCTTCCAAATTAGCCTTCACCAGGAATCCGGGACGTTGGGGTCATTGACCTGACTGCGGGGATCCTTCAGCACCAAATCCACATACCTTTTAGGTGTAGGGCCCAGGGTTTGGGGAGTAGGGTTTAAGGATTAGGGTTTGGGGATTACGGATGAGGAATTTGGGTTAGATGGCGTTCAGAGTTTAGGGTTTAGGGTAGTTGGATGGGCTGGGCATTGGCTGACAAGGCTTTAAAAATGTGAGGGCTATGAAATCCATATTTCTACAGGCATCTAGCTCTTTTCCGGGGCATCGAAGTAGTTTGTTTCCATACATGGAGGGAATCAATCTAGACTTCTGTGCCCAACGCTTCCAAAAAAGCTTTCAGGAAGGGATATGCCATGGGCCCTGTCCCCACCCATGAACAGTCTATAATAGGGGTCATAGTCAGGGCTCTATATAAGTATACTCGAAATGAGCTATAGTCTGAACTCCTAGCATCCCCCTCATAAGCCCTACAATATTCCCCTCTTTTAATCCCCTATATAACACCCCATTAAGGAGCTTAGACCCTAAACCCTAAACCCTAAACCCTAAAACATGAATCATATCCGGCTGTTCATGAATGGGGGCAGTACCCAAGACATGCCTCGAACCTGGACATGATGAAGATCTATTTCTTGATTGGTTTAGGGTTTAGGGGTTTAGGGTTTAGGGCTAAGCCCTATGAACCCTAATCCCCAAACCCTAATCTTTACAAACCGCACAGGGTTCTGCGTTCTGGCTCGATGGGTTTGGGCGACAGGTGCTAGGCTGAGGAGCTTGTGACCAATGCCTTTGGGTAGTGCTCTGTTTTTTTTTTTCCAGGCTGGGCTCTTTTCAACCTCCCGCATGCGGTCGATCGAAGGTCCCAAGGACCGAGCTGTGGCCGAACTGGTTCAAAGGTTTAGGGATTAGGGTTTGGGTTCAGGGATTTGGTTTAGGTTTCACGGTCAGGGTTTAGGGTTTAGGGATTAGGGTTCAAAGATCCGCCGACCTTGGGGGGCGTGTTGGATGGTTGCCGAAGGCGGAGAGGGTGAAAACCCTCTTGGTGGGCCGGGCCCCAAGCCCCCTGAAGACCCACTCTCACCGGTTTTTACCTTCTCGTTGCGTCAATCCGGGTCTCAAAACCCCTGACCTTGGGGGGCGTTGGATGGTTTCCGAGGCGGAGCTGTACAGTTCCATGAGAGGCGGGGGTTCCCGTCTTCGCTCCAGCATTTTCAGGTGCTGGGCCGGGCCCCAAGCCCCTGGCTGGACACCTGGCCAACAAGCCCCTGATCCCTGCATCCCGGTCAAGAAAACCAAAAATGCCCCGGTGCTCATCG